CTGTTGCACTTAGGACTGATTCACAGTATTTTGTTTCATTTTTCCAGAATGGTTTTATATAGGGAATATTTGTAATTCTACCTATAATTCATTCATTAAAAAAAACAAAAAAAACAGAGGAATCAATATTAGTATCTCATATATGCAAATTAGGTGAGCTGGTACCTTCGTTAGATGATCAGCTGACATAACTGCAAACAGTTGCCATGGCCACATGAATTCTTGAACTGTAACAATATCACCCTGTTTGAAATTAACATGGTTACTTTTGATAACAACACCAACACCTACACCACCTGCTGCTTCCCCAAGTTTCCATGGCGACAAGTAATCAGCACCAGTGTCTTCATTCATTTGACATCGCTAGCAGAATTTAATTAGGAAAACATTAAATACTGTGAAGTATAATTTCAGTGGAATTTAATTTTGTTAATTTTGCTGTAGGAATGAATCAGTGAAAATAAAATTGAAAATACCCTCTTTTCTATATTTTACACTCAACTGGTAAAAAATCAGTGAAAAAAAAAATTACAGACAAAAACAGCCAAAATGTTTTTTTCAGTGAAAATTTATTACAGCTAAAAAAAAAGCATTTTAAAATATTTTTATTGTATTCTAGATACAGAGGATTTGAAAACAAATGGTGTACATAATATATGGATTAAATGTAGATAACATTCACGCGAGTATTATTTGCTTGTGACTGCATTGAAAAAAAAATTAACATTAGATCGCCAAAAAATAAATAAATACAGAGTGCACATAAAACCTAATACGGATTGTAATCATACACAATTTAATTGAAATCAGCAAAGTAAATGAACAATATGTAGACTTGCTGTTTTTAACAAGAATTCAAATATATCACTTTTCACCAAAAATGACAAAAATAATCATCAAAATTATATAATTGAAGATATTACCACGAAATTAACAAATCTGAGAGAGGTCCACATGTAGTACCTATATATGTACCGGTAATATCAAAGAAATCGGACTTGTGGTTTTGAACATGAAGTCGAAAATATCACTTTTTAATAAAAAATACAAAAATATTCACTAAAATTAGAGAATTGAAGATATTATCACGAAATGAACACATCTGAGAGAGGTCCACATGTAGTACCCACCTAAATTATATATGATATGTAAGCATCTAAATTCCATTGTATGTGTTCATTTCCAGTATATGAGGAAATTCATTATACAAATGTTGTGTATGTACTATTATATACTATTACCATATAGGGATCCACTGAAAGATAGAGAGTCTTCACCAAGACACTATCAGTTGGTATACATGCAGGATAAGGACATTCTTCAACATCAAAGTTATCTACCATTGGTGCGTTGTCAGCTCCTATAGTAATGAGAGAAAAAGCAAGAAAGTAAGGGGGTAACATTTTTAAAAATTAGTGTAAGTTATTTTTTTCATATATATTTTATTGTTTTTTTCTTGGATTTAAAAAAAGATTTGATATACAGTGAATTGAATGAAGGCATGAAATAATGTAAAATAATTATTACTGTTTTATAAATTTTAAATGACACAATGTTGTGATTGGTCTTAGCCAATCACAACACCTTAGCAGAGACACAGTAGTAAATTGGCCAATGAATGAAGAAAACTTGCAAAGACTCATGGGTAATGATGAAATGGCTTCTACAACCATGAAATCATCTTCTTTGAATTGAAGCAAAGTGTGAGGATGTTCCAGGATACTAAATAAATTTCCATGAAAAACATTGATACCTTCATGAAATTCACTGAAAAAGGTTTCAACCATACATTTTTGTTGAGTACTATTATAAAATGTCTTCATGCAGTTTATATGTACTTTTGTGACTTAAATGTCATACATGTATACATGCATGAGC